CAGAATGGTACAAATAAAAGCTCTAAGCGTCCCTCTTTTGAATTCATTTTAACAAAGATTTAACGATTTCCGAGAAACTAAACTGGAAGTAAAGTAAAGATATTTAATATTCAATGTTCTTCCGTGCTGCTATCAATCACCAGTGACAAGTTATAATAATGATATGATATATAGACTATATAGAGAGGTTAACTATAGAGATCAACCTTCATTATATCTTCCATATTGGTCTTAACATACCATTCTACTTATAAAAGTCTCTGTGCCTCCCAATTAGAGAATTGACCTCAAATAGCCTTCACAATGTCTTCCTGGGCAGAAACAAATTACTGGAATTGTACCATAGAGATTACAAGGAAACTAACTCGTCAGGTTTACCACTGGGAACCACGGAAACCTACTCGTCAGGTTTACCACTGGGACCCAGCTTGTTGGCAATTATTTCAATTATTTTCATTATTCATTCATTTCAAATGTTCTCTCGTAGGAAGTCTTTCTCAAAACCAGAAGTGAAATGATGACAAGTAGAAAACTTTGAAGGAAATGGTTGAAACTGGAGTGGAAATAAAACAAGGTCTATTGTGCTACAGACTGTTCACGTTAAAGATTACAAAGGTCCCATCTGCTGCACACTGTGCGATTTAAAGATCTCTCGATAGATGGAGATCAAACAAAGTGTAGACCTTTGCTGCTGTCCTGGTACATTTCCTTCATGAGACACTGTTTGGTGTTGTCACCTTCAGATTGAACCTTGAGCATTAATTAGGCGAAAAAATAATTAGAATACATGGAACTTTTCCCAAGATTTTCGCCAACTTAGCTGTATGGATCTTTCAAAGGAAAATATGAGTGTTCTTTCATCATTTTTGTCTGAGCTGAAGATAAAGCCAGACTTCAAGTCAATCTAGTGGAAACCATATCCTAACAGGCTGAAAGACACCAAACGCTTATTTCAATTACTTGGTTATTTCCATCTTCCTCTAGGCACGGAAATAAATTGATGAGAATTATCTGCCTTTATCGTCTGCCACTGCCGTTTGTTTCCACCACAGCTCCAGGCTAGAGAAGGCAAGAACAAATTGAAAAGAACTGCTGTGTCTACAATCTTTCTGTAAGCCTACAGGTTACCAGAAATTTGTCAAAGATTTCTTAGGAATCTACAAAACTGGTGGCTTTATGACACAGGAAATTAATTTTGGTCAATAACATGGTTTGAATTTCTAGCTGGAGGCCACATCATGTATTTTACATGACAATATTTGTACTTGGCTGTGAGCACATGAATCAAATAACCATGATCAAAGATGTAATAAGCATGAAACTCTTGAACAATATTACAAACTTTCAGAGTATCAGACAGCAGAACCAAAAGATCGCATGTCACCATTCTGCAACTGGATTAATCAATAATATATATCAGTATTTTGATTTGACTTGTGCCGGGCTGAGATTTGTTTAATATGCAAGGAACCCTGGATCTATATAATGAAATTTCAAAGTAGTAAGTTTGAAAATACCAATTGATTGATTGTCACCGTCAGAATGCCAACTGAACTTCATAGAGTCAGTATATGTAATAGAATTGAAATTTATTTAGGTATTTTTTACTGAGATTCACAACCATAGACAGGGGGACATGCCCAATCTCTCACTGAAAGCTTATTACAACACTGTGACCACGCGAAGGAGCTTGACACATTTTTCTTCCTTTTCAGGGTGTCCATGTCATTGAACTCTGATATTTATCTACAGACAGAACTCACAATCTGTTTTATTCCACGTTTTAAGAGTATAAAATTATGTTGAGTAGTGAAATGCAGACAAGTTGATAATATCAGAACTATTGATTCCTGTAAGTCTGTGTTACCATGGAAGATTAATTTCACGACAGAAAGAAAACATAAAGTAGAAGACAGAATGGTCTTTAAGAGAAGAATTATGGGAAATTAAGACACTAATATCCAGTCTCTTGCTCTCTTTACCAGCTCTAATGTCTGAAACAAGACGTTGCAATATTTCATTAAATCTTTAATATTAAACAGACTAATGATAGTTTAATCACCATAGGAAATGAAATAAATGGAGTTTTACATCCTACTTTTCTGAATATTGCTCCATATTGTGGGCTCAGTACTCATGATTCAAAGGATTCTGCATTCAAAATAGACCCTGCTTACTCTGTTCGAAACACCTGTCGGTACTTCTCTTAGGAGTCTAGTGAGAGGAGGATTTTCATTTAATTGTAGACAAATTGCAAGACAGATTTTGATTCTGATGAGTGATACAGGTGGTTGAAATCAAATTCAATAAAAGCCTGCACAAGAAATTTACATATTTAAGTAAAATGTTTCAAGTCAATCTGCCTGTAGGTTTTCTATATGTTCTGTAGAGTGTTATTGGCAGCCAAATAAAACAGTCAATAAACATCATTAATGAGGTTCTTGCCACCAAATTCCAGTTTATTTATATAAGAATGAAGTGAAGGTATACACATATCAATTTGTTTCCATAATAAAATATCCATAAAGGCAGAGATCAAGGACATAAAAACCTAATCAAACTTCAGTTAATATACACAAAGACATGTTTAATGTGAACATTGATCTAGGATATCTCTATTGTTAAGACTACAATCTGATAGCTGGAATAGGGCAGTATGACTTTCTTTCAGTATGTTTAGGATCGTTAGATACTGGAATAAATAAAACCTACAGACCACAATCTAGGGAAATGTGTCACTTACATTCTCTGAAACTTTTAATCTAAAGTATCTAGTCGTTAATTTAGTAGAAAAACATCAATTTATATATATGGTATACTCTCACTAAAATTAGAGTCAAATTTTTAACTTTCTAACATGAATAATATTTGATACACATGGATTTAATGGCTAAAATTTCGACGATGAGTTGTGAACACTATTACTGATTATCTAAGCTAAAAAAAAAAAAATCCTGTTTCTAAAACTAAGGTATGATTGGTCAAACGGATAGTGAAGGTGTTCTGAAGTCTTTTGAAATCTGGTGATACTTTGGACAAGAGAAAGCTTATGCATTTCTTATTTCAAACTTTCTTTATTTTGTATCAAGAACACTAAAATGTTCAAGTAGAATAGCAAGATCCCCAGACGTCTGATTGAATATTGGAATGGTGTAAATAGATGCTATCAGTGTCACTGATACACAGAAACAGTTCAGAAATCTCTTTACAATACCCTTGAACTAATATTAGCATTTCCATCTCCCATTTACATTTGAAGCATCAGTCAATATAAACTGAAAATATCAATCCAAGTTTTAAGTCATTTTCCATGTTGAATTGCAGAACAAAGGTTTGATCAACAAAAATTCCCCATTGCTTCCATTGATCCCAGAAGAGAAGAGACATAATCAACTTCGGAAAATGTTCCATTAAAAGAAAAATAATCTCTGAAAATATGGTGAAAAAAGAAAAGATTTTCATAAAGTGATGTAGAGAGAATTCCTATTGTAAAAGCTGACCAGAGATGAAGGAAGAACAACTTGAATATTGCAGCAGAAAATTTCTCTCGAAGCAGACCATGCTTACTCTTTTCCAAACACCTGATGGTACTACACTTTGAAGGAGTTCACTACTATACAACATTTACTCTTGATTTTGCAATTCTTTGGACGAGACTTTGATTAATGGAATTGTCTTGCTTGTACAGATTTTTATTCCTACAGTTAGATAAGGAAAGTTCTTTGACCCAAGTTTAGATTGACATGTCAAGTTCTGTCTAGGACAAGTTTGATACTGAGATCATACAGATAATCTTCTATACGGGAAGGAAAGGAATTTTATAATTATAAAATATATCAGATGTCTGAAGCTGGAGTTTTTTTAGGTTTCATTTGAATATTCTATATCACTCTACAATTGCTGTTTTGACCCCTATTTTAACAGTGAAAATATTTTATTTATTGACTAAATTTTCATATTAAGTTTATCTCTCCAAGTCTCATTTTTATAATGTGCATTCAACTGAAGAATAAATAAATTAATCAATTAAAAAAAGAATGAATGAATACATGTGTGAATGAATAAATAAATGGATGATTGGTTGAATAAACAAACACAATGAACTTAATTTATTTTTTTTCTTCTTGTTCGTTGAATGGAATGAAAGATAGTTAAAGTCAGAGTTAAGTTGGAATCCTTTGCATGGAAATACGCTGTTTTCCGTTTTGGAATTTTCTGCTGGGTGGTAATGGCAGCCTGTTTCAGAATTGTCACGATGCAGTTGTTGAATACGTTTTTCATATTTATTTTGGGAATGTTTGACTGATTGTTTTAGGAACTGTTTTGGGTTAGTGTCACACATTGTTTTGGGGATTGTGTGACAGGTTGTTTTGGAATTGTGTGACAGGTTGTTTTGGAATTGTGTGACAGGTTGTTTTGGGATAGTATGACAAGTTGTTTTGGAATTGTGTGACAGGTTGTTTTGGAATTGTGTGACAGGTTGTTTTGGGATAGTATGACAAGTTGTTTTGGAATTGTGTGACAGGTTGTTTTGGAATTGTGTGACAGGTTGTTTTGGGATTGTAATGACAAGTTGTTTTGGAATTGTGTGACAAGAAGCTTTATAATTATGTAACAGGTTGTTTTGTAATTGTATGACAGGTTGTTTTAGAATTGTGTGACAGGTTGTTTTGGGAATGTACAACAGTTTATTTTGGGACATATCAAGTTGTTTCATATGCATGGCAATTGTATGGCTGCCTATTTCAAAATGGATGCAAGTTCCTTTTTATAAAAGTTTTGCTGCCTGTTCTGAAAAGGTTTCCGTATGAAATTACTGATCCACGAATGTAATTTGGAATGTGTACCTGCATGGATTTCCATTGTGAATGAGAATCAGCAAAAACTCAAATTAAACTTTGTAGATTCAAAGAGTTCCAAGAAAATAACAAAACAAAACAAGCATACAAAACTTACATTTCTAGGTTTAAGGTTGCCCTTTCTTCTCTTCTGTACTGAACTTATAGCAGGTGCTGTCTTCTGTTTCGGTTCGTCTTTTTCTACGCTGTCAATAGTGTTCACACTCCCCGAGTCTGAACGCTTGTCAGAATCATCGTCAGGATTGGAAATATCTTGTGATGAACCATTCTCACTTGTTAACTTAGTCTCAAAAGTATCAAGATCAGTTTGTGGAATTGCGCTTTGTCTTTTCGGGGTGTCATCCTTTTTTCGTTTCTCTACTTCTGATACAGGAGGGGTTTTTTCTTTTTCTTTCTCCTTAGTTGAATCTTTAATCTGAGTTGCATGCCCGTTTATGACAATAGCACCAGCATCAGGCACAGGTTGATTATGAAAGGTGATAACTGGTGGATCTTCTGGTGTTCGATTTCCAGAATTAGAATCGTCCTCGACATTGACCTTGACCTCTTGAACTTCCATGTGACCTGAGCTGCTGTGTTCGATATTTGCGATAATGTCGGAAACACGGGGTGAATCGTCGTCATCTTCTTCTTCCTCCTCATCATCATCTTGACTCAGAAGATCCTGAACGGTGTTAAGGACAACGCCTGGAACAGATGGCGCCACTGAGGTGGACGTGATGACCTCATGAATTATGTCTTCCAGTATATCGTCAGCAATGACAATGGCTTCAGCAGGTTTATCTGCTTCCGGAGCTGATGTTATGTCTGGGGTAGGCGAGCGTTTATCAGGGGTGGGAGAACGAGGTGAGAGTTTTTCAGGGGATGGGGTGCGTTTATCAGGTGTTGGGGATCGCTTGTCTGAAATGGCTGATGCTTGATCTTTGAAACCTTCTTGTACTTTAGCAGGGCTGTCATTCTGAAATGTGAAAAGTTTTTTACATTAGAAAAGCAATCATGATCAGTTTAAAATTACCACTTAATAACTGAACACAAATGTTTAAATTGAAACTTAATTTAAAGTTCTTAATACAACTGAAAGTATTAAGTCAAGGTCATTAAGACCTTTCTATTTCATACTATCCAAAATGAAAAACGCATTCAAAAATCTAAATGAACAGTTGACAAAGGAGTCAGCCCCTTACCTGGCTACCCTCCGACCTTTCATCACCACTGGGTCCCAGTCCTTCATCTGAAGATCTATCTTGTTCATCATCATGATCTTCAGGCTTAACGACCACCACCTCAGCTAGTTCTGCAGGTTTAACCACAGGTGGTTGGGGAGCAGGTGTCTTCTTCGGTGACTGTCGCTTGTCTTCCTTCGAGCTTGGTCGTTCTACTGCTTTATTATCAACCACTGGTTCTTTCTCTTTTTCTTTCTCCTTTCCATCTGAAACCTTTCGCTCTTTCTCTAGACTCTGAAAGATTTTAATCATAATAAACAATTACGTTGACTTTGAATGTGATCAATTTTGTGGACTCTCTGAAAGGATGTCAAGTTAACAGAAATAGTTACTTAAGGATGGTAAAGTTTACAAACACAATTCCCACACAATCTCTGTTGAGGTGTGGATTCAATACTGTCTCAGATCAAAAGTCCTTCACATTCCTAATAAATGATAGTGTAGAAAGATTGGAAAGTCTTGGATTTTAATTTCATAATCAATGGTTTAGATCCTTCAGGGCACTGAATAAAGCTCTTCTTCTAAAAATCATGACTCAGACAGCAATCCTTACCTTTTCTCTGTCTTTCTCACTGTAGTTAGATATAGTGTCCATCTCACTAGTAGATGAGGTATCTGTATCATTCAGGTGACGCTGGAAAGATAAATATAAAACATCTCAGTCTGTGGTATACTGTCATACTTGTATCAGGGGTTGACAGCAGACAATGGGCCGACTATCTGAAGCACTGACCTCAGCATCAGAATGTTTCTTACCCTGAGTAGGACCAACGGCACAGAATGGCATGTCACCTAACCTCCAAGCAGAAGATAATCCATCTTGTTACCACCTGAACCAGGGCTGTTGATTTGAAGATTTGCCGGCTTATATCTGGCGAACGTTCGAAGCAAGTTTTTTTTACCTAAAGGAAGACCCATGGCAGGACACTTTATTGTAAGCTCATTTACAGCACAGGAGTCAGACGTCAACACAGAAAAGTGACCAGACTGGTTATGGCTACATCCTGTTCAAATCTTTTTTCATTTAGACTTGAGCTTCCCTTTGCTATTCTGTGTGCCCTACTCAGCCTTAAGGTTCATATAAAAGCGACTAGCCTGTTTTAGGGCTGCATCCTATCTTTTATCATTTAGATTTTCCTGATACTGTGAGCTGCTCTGATAGTTACGTGGCCCCTGATCAACCCCTCAACCTTATAATTCATAGAAACACTATCAAAAGTTAATTTGGAATTTTTTTTTTCAAATATTTCTAGAACTCACCCTAATCTCATTAATATCCTCATCATCTGATAAATCTCTGACTTCTTCTACCACCTCGGCCTTTGCTTCACTGATCAAATCTTTTATTGGCTTCTTGTTAGTGAAGTCTTTTATAAAGGGATGCTGCAATAGAACATATTACTTTATGAAACGGACATTTATCTGCTATTTTGAGCGTTCATCAAATACGTCAGTGCAGAGAGTGAGCAGATTGAGACTTGACAAGAGAACGTATTATACCACCACAACAGGACGTCTGGCAGTGTATGTATAACTTTCATTCATGTAATAACCAGAGTCCATTAAAGCTCCTTGGGTAATAACAAGAAATCTGTTTAAAGGGAGATAACACATAATAACAGTTGAGTATTGAAGAAAGTTAAGCTGATTTACTAGGTATTTTGAAATGATGTACATCATTGTCTTCCACAAGAAAATGTTTATTACCTCTAACAGTTCTCTAGCATTGGCTCTCTGATCAGCATCTTTTATCAAACATTTAGTCAGAAAATCACTGAACTTCTTAGACCTAAAAACATTAAAAATAGATTCACATAAATATATATTGAACTTTGTCCCATCCGAATGACCAGATGCTATCTCTATGTCAGCCCCTCTTACCTGCATCACTGACAGGGGGAAGCTGGGTTGAAAAATCTGAAGGTATTATTTCGACCTATGCTGGGATTGAACCCTGGACTTCAGGTTATCAAGTGTCTTACTCACTGAGCCACTGTGGCCCCCCCCCCACGTGCAACATGAGCCGTTGACTTTCTTTGTTTAAAAGGGTTATGAACACAAAATAAGTCTGATTGAACTATTTAAAGTTTGTAATTCTCACCATCTTGAAGGACTGTCGAGTTTTGGTGGATCTGATTTCTGTATCTTGATTAAAACTCTCATTGGATGCATATCATTATTAGGTGGCTCCATCTGGGCAAACTCGATCAACGTTACACCTGAAATAAAGACACACAACATTTAAATAACGACACTAACAATAAATAACACAAACAATGAATGGAATAGAGTTTTACATCCTACTCTTCTGATAATCCATTTTACACAGTATAAAAGGTGTTCACCACTTTAAGGAGGAATTCATACAGCCTGGCACAGGCAAGAATTGGTGATAAAGGGATTGACACAGACCTCTTGCTCTTAGTCTGTAAGTTTGATAACTCTAATAACAAGTGCAACATATAGAATATGTAGAATATTCTCTTTGAATTCTCACTCCAGTTCAATGTATTTGCTTTTGTCACAGACTTCTTGCTGTGTTTGCTTACTAATAATTACTCTAAGACCAGAAACAGAAACTCACCCAGAGACCAGATATCAGCTTTATAATCATACGGTGTATCTTTTAATGTTTCACATAATATAACTTCTGGTGCCATCCTGTAATATAGACAGAAAACATTTATTCCTAATGCTGTATCTATCTTTGTAAAGTTTCTATTTGTTTGTTCCAAAAAAGCTGTTTTAACCATCAAATTGAAACAAGCTTTAGCACATTGTGTTAGATTTAACATGACGTCATTTACCTTGTAACAAATGGTAGTCACAGGTTCTTTTCTTAGAGAACTTCTTTATCAGCTAATGAAACCAAATTTCATAACCTCAGTCATTAAAATAAAACCTGAACTTACCAATATGGTGTCCCAATAAAGGTATCACGTCTCTGATGAGTTTTAGTATTTTTAGCAGACACACCAAAATCAGCTGAAATTATACAAGATTTTATTAAAATTAAAATATAAATTTCTATCAATATTTCATAAATAATCAAAATAGTAATGACATCAGTATTCTCCATGGTTTCTTCACAGTTCACCTTGGACGACAAACATAAACATATATACAAACTCATGGATATTGTATAAACACAGGAAACCCCTCTTTTATGATAAAAAGTTGTTTTCATTGATCAAAATTCATTGTCCCATATAAAGCTATTTGGATTAAGTGAAACACAGCCCATCTATTTATAGATAAAAGTACGTGATTTTAATAACAATATATAATACTATAATATATAAAAGAGATATTTTGAGAGAGAATTATTCAGTGTATATGTAATGACCTATATTTTACTGTTTACCAAACTTAATATAATACACAGTACATACTCTATCAATTATGGTTTTATTATTTCACAAATTTTCAGGGATTTTTGAATTTAACGAAGTATGCAGATACAGACTGAAAATAGGTCATACCATTATTTTAAGGGTTAACAAAAAATACATTTTTAAAAATTACGCTAGAATAAAACGTATAAAATTATCTGAATATGAGCAACAGATATTGTGACATTAATATATAAGTTAACGCCCAATCTCTGTCTGTAATAGGAAGTAATATTATTCCTTTTCTAGTTTCCTTGATCATTTATACACTACTTAGATCATTTCTTCAACTACGTCAACTCTCCTAAATTATATTCTCTACTTCAATCATTTCTTTACATTCTCATGTCATAATATCATTACTAACTATGTGGACTCTCTGAATAGGCTGTCCCAAATACATAATAAACATTATTAGCTATGTGGACTCTCTGAATAGGCTGTCAAGGTCACAATTCCAGAATTGGTGGCATCAGAAAGAGTCTCGGAAGAGGTAATATCAATATATACTATGTGGACTCTCCGAATAAGATGCCAAGGTCACAATCTCAGTCAAAGTTCAGTTGAATCGGGTGCTCTAGAAGGGGAAGTAAGAACTGCCTCAATAACATAATATATTTTAGTTTGCATTGAATTGAAATTATAAATTTGAAGCCTAGAGATAAATAATGTTTCAAATTTAAATCTTTAAACTTATAAGTGCATTTAATTTGCCTTAAGGTCACTTATTATATTTCACAATGGTTGTTTTGTGCCATAATGACTGATATTTGAATTAGTCCCAATCAATAAACAGTAACATTTTAAAATAGAAAGAACATTCATTATCATTTTTAATGTGATCTCCACCCCGAAATGAGGTCATAGGCTAAAGGGTGTTGTGTAGGGTAATGCATGAATATGAAGTTATTTTGATAAAGTGAACCCCAGTCTCATCTATCTATTGATAAGAGAGCATGGTTTAGACATTGGTTGACTGTTATTAAATAGAGTAAAGTGATGCATTTGAATATGAAGGTATTTGGAGAATTGAATTGTCATCCATCAAACAAATTAATATATAAAATATAGAGATATTAGATTGACTACCCTAGGGCTATAATATGTATCTACTCAATATTTATCATTTTGTCATATCAACATTTAGTCTGACATATATTTTTATACTTTCTTTCTGATTGTTGATTTGGAGGGGGCAAGTCATGTAAATCATCTTGTCATAGGAACTTATCAACATGGTCTGGTTTCATTTTTTTTATATGTTAGATCTTGTTGATTTGGCTGTACTTATCAGTGATGTCTGACTAGAGCTTTAAACTGTTGTTTTGGCTGTATTTATCTATTTGCCAGTCATGTCTAACTAGAGCTGTAGACTAGACTTTAGCTGTACTTGCCAATGAGACTTGTGTTCATGATATGGAATGCCCTGTGGTTTACAATGAGGGAAATGGTACATACACATTCTACATGAGAGTAATGACTAATGACCAATACCTACCTAGTTTAACGTCCCCATCTAAAGTTAGTAAAACGTTTCCAGCCTTGAGATCACGATGTATAACTTTATTATCATGAAGATACACCAACCCCTCACACATCTCATGACAGACATATCTTATCTGGTCCTCTGACAGGGGCTTCTCTAGGTCCACCATAATACTATCCAACGCCCCACCCTCACAAAACTCAATAAACATCTAAAAAATAAAATATTGACATTAGCTGGACTAATGAAGAAGAGCAATGTCATGCAGTGTGCAATGAGGGAAATTTTCAAAGGGCAACTATATATAAGCCTACTCTTGATCATCAATTGTTATCGAAGAAAACTGGGTTAGAAAATCCAAAGGTTTTATCTCGACCTATGCCAGGATTGAACCTTAGACCTTCATCCTTCAGGATAGCGAGCACGTGTCTAATTCACTGAGCAACAGGATCTGAGATACCTAATTAGAAATAAGATGCATGTAAAAACAAAAGAAGTAAAAGGCAAGATGACTTTATATCCTGATTTTCAATGTCTTAATAATTCATAAGTCTTCCACAAAGCCAAATATAGAGCTGAGTCAAAAAATTGTATTAATTTTTGTTTACTTATTACCACTTTTACTTTTGACTTTTGAATTTGTATTAAAAATTAAGACCTGTTTAATAGTTTATTCAATCTATAGTTGTTAAATGGTTAAGGGAATATTATTTTACAAAAAAGACTAAGTTTAAGCAAGGAAGTTATAGTAATAGGAAAATCATTTGAGTTTGTCAACTAAGATAATGTTAATGTGTTTTGTAGTAAGGAAAAGTTTGTTTATAAATGTGTTCTATTGCTAATAAAAGCACCATTGTAAATCAGAGCTTTGTATTTTATTTATTCATTCACCATATTCTTAAATATTGATACGATCTTATAAAAAAAAACTTGGCAATAAGTTATATTTTATTTCTAATATTTGGCAACAATTTGGTTTTAAAATATCTATCATATCTGTTAATATGAAGTCTGAAGGTTATGTTATTTATTTTATGATCTATAATTTATATTAATTTTAAATGATAATAAAAGAATAATGATTTTATTGTATAAATATGGTGAATTTATCATCTAAATCAAGTGAAAATTTTTAAATATTTTACTTTTATAAACGTGTTTTTATATGAAACAGGATCTTAAGAAATGAATTAAAGGGATTTTAAAGAAGTTTTCTAAAGTTTGTATGTGTCCATCAGAGACACTGATAGCATCAATTTGCACCATTTCAATTTTCAATCAGTTTTCTGTGGTTCCTGCAATTCCACCGTTTGTGACGTCACTAATCTTGAAAGGTCTTATGTGATAGAAGTGATTAGTGATGTCATCAAACATATATAACATTTAGAAAACCTGTTGACAATCCCTTTAAATATTTGAATATTAAAAGTGTGTATTTATAAACCAAGATCTTATTGAATGATTGAAATAAGAAATGAAATTAACTATATATGATGGTTGATTGAATGTATTACTATAGTAAATAAATATAATATAGTTTTGTCTGTTGACAACAAGGTATTCTAGTATTATTACTGAAGTATGAAGGACATGTTTTAATTCAAAAGATAAAGTCAGTGATGTGTTTAGAAATCTTTGAATATAGATGTAGATCAGATTTGGCTTCCTGTTGCTCAGACAACATTTTATTGAAGTAATAAGACAAACAACTGCATGCAGTGTGCAGTGAAGTAAATTGGCATGGGTTGAGTCTGTTGCACTTAAAACACATGTCTCATTAGAGAATTTAAAAGCAAAATTACTAGCATATGTGAAGGCTTTTGTAAGTGTATCAGGGACACTGATAACATCGATTTGCACCATTTTAATCTTTAAATCAGACGTCTGACAGAAAAAAGAAATGGTGTAAGGTGATTCTATCAGTGTCCCCGATACATATAATAAGTTTAGAAAACCTCTTGACAATCCCTAAACACATAACCTAAGATTTGATGTATGTCTTTGCATCCACTAACAGAGTATAATTCAGAGAGTCAAGAGTTGAACAGCATGTAGATATTGAAGCTATGATATAAAACAATAGAAAGTTAATAGTGAGTTAACCTTGATATAAACTGTTATACAATAGAGACTATTTTAATATACACCATATTTAGTACCGGTATAACACCTATATAACAGGATACAATATCACTGTATTTCATTATTACACTTTTTATACTTTAATATCCACAGTTCTTAACATACAGCATCTCAATACAACCCTTTCCGCGATTTGGTCGCTACGGTGACACAAGTGCTAATTCAAACCCTGAAGTTTCTGACATGTCTAAAAGTAATGATTAAAAGGAGAAGAAAAGATTCTGAATAATTGGTATAAATTACGATGCAAAGCTGTCAAATAAAAATCAGTACAAGCAAGACAATTCCGTTAATCAAACTCTTGTATAATAGTTGACTCCTCCAAAGAGAAGTACCATCAGGTATGCTGTCTAAAAAGAATTCAGATGCGGGTTTTCTCAAAGGGAGATTTAACATTTTACTAGCCCTACAATTATACAAATGTTTCTCAGGAACTTCAAAAGCAACAGACCAAGTGTAAAAATCTTATTCCTATAAACTATGAATTGCAATCACTAGTTTAATTTGTTTACAAAATGACCACAAGGTGTTACAATGTACACAACTTCACTCTGGTATTTTGATATCATATGTAGGAGTCATATGACACTTAAATACAATATACAACTAGTGTGTGTCTAGTTTACACTCAAACATGACAGTACATAAAATAATTTACATAAAGTCAAATTTAATCCATAAAATATAAAACAGGAAAAAGAAAGATATAAATAATAGAAGAGACTATTAATTCTTCATATGATGAGTAATGGGTTAAAAATAACGAGAAAATGGGAAGTGATCAATTTCAAGAACCTTGTTATATTAAAATAGCTTTCTAAAGAGATTGTTAAGAGGTTTTCTAAACTTTTGTGTGTATTATTGTAGTGCAACATTGCTTTGCAATATTCCGATTTTCAATCAGACTTCTGTGATTCCTGAAATTCCACTAAAACTATAGTTTTCTGATTTCACTATCGAAAAGGTCTTACATATCAGTAGCAGCCTCTGTGATTTGTCATAAAACATTCAGTTTTAGTGGAATTGAAGATGTTTGACTAAAAATTGGAATGGTGTAAATCAAAGCTATCAGCTATCAGTGTCAACAAGCTAGTACCGTATCTTACCGATAAGTTTCCATCTTTATAAAAAGCTTCATGTAGACCAACCACATTATGATGTTTACATTCAGCTAATATATTAATCTCAACTATAAAATCTTCTAAATCTTCCTCCGACTTGATTTCTACCTGTTTTAACGCTGCTAGTAGCTTTGACTCTTTATTCTCAGCCTGAAATAAACAGATAGTAGAAATGAACAAGGGATGAATGAAAGAAAGAATGTTTTAACACTGCTAGTAGCTTTGACTCTTTATTCTCAGCCTGAAATACACAGATAGTAGAAATGAACAAGGGATGAATGAAAGAAAGAATGTTTTAACACTGCTAGTAGCTTTGACTCTTTATTCTCAGTCTGTAATAAACAGATAGTAGAAATGAACAAGGGATGAATGAAAGAAAGAATGTTTTAACACTGCTAGTAGCTTTGACTCTTTATTCTCAGTCTGTAATAAACAGATAGTAGAAATGAATAAATAATTGAATGAATGCAAGAATAAAAGTAACATGAATGAATGGACTTAGATTCTCAATTCTCAGACAGAAATAGACAGCCGGAAAGAGTGAGCGTAAAAATGATTGAATGGATGTTTCAACACAGCTTGTAACTTAGATTAAACCTCAATGAATAGATGAATGAATCGCACTCTATTTGATAGAGAGGAGGGGGGTGAGAAATAATGTACACCAGGTAGCTTATATAGCAATATTCTATAGTCTATGGTAGACTGGTAGGGTTACAACTTGTAAATATCAACAAAATACATTTCTTTTATCAAATAAAATCATATATATTACAACTAGTCACATAACATCAACTTTTACAGGCCAAGGGGTGGATATCTTACAAAAAAATGTTTCGAGTGTAAAAAAGTTGGCCAAAAATACATGCTACCTCACCCAATTTTAAACCTAAACAAGACTTAAGACATGTAAGAGTTTATGTTTTCATACAAAAGGTAACTCACTTTCTTTCAAATTTTACACTGGAGGTATGATATAAAACTGACCTAGTTTACACTGACAAATTATAATAAGTAAATATACAGGTGAGATATTGAGACAACAACTTAACAAGATGATATTCACTGACAGTTATTACACTCATTAACGTTGATCAGACCTAAAGGCAATGATTCGCCATTTTTGAGAGTTGATTTGGGTCTTGAATATATATGTAAAGTACTGTACAGTACCGTACTACAACTAAAAGCAAAATCTCTTCAATTATACCTTAAACTAATAATTTCACTGTCTTTTTCAATATATATGTCTTTACTATACCATAATACAGATAATAACAAGAGAGGGTTCCGACCGTGTCAAAACATTACAATCTATAAAACTCATTAAGAATATCCCTCAAACATCAGTGAAAATGGAAGAGAAAGAGAGAAAGATTAAAGGTAAAGACAAGTTATTGTCTATTGTGTCAACAAATTACACTAACTCTGTATCTCACATATCTACTAATACAAAGATAATACTGTATATCTTAACAGGGCTTATATTCACACCTTCTTTACCCTAGTATTAGCTTTAACAGAATACCAACCACTTTAACAACATATCTCTAGTCTTTTATACAACGTTCTCACAAGTTTTAAATAATACATAGATGAAAGAGAAGTAGTAAACAGTCAGTGAAGCAATAAAAAGATCTTAACCACAAACTAGACTCCTATTATTGTTGGCTAGAACCCCCGTCTGTAGGCCTATTTGCCAGGCATGTCTGACAGGAGCTCCTGTATATACTAACACTAAGTTTTAAATAATGGAAAGGGAGGTTTTAAGATCATTTTATTTATCAGTGGCTGTATTATACAAAATAAAATTATATAAAATGATCTAAACCACTCAGTAGAATCCGTTCTGCATTACCTACTGCCAGTTATGTCAGATAAAATATAGAGTGTGCCTGACACAGAGTTGTATTAGATGTACTGACAATCAGGATTATATTGTAGTGGGAAATATTGAATATTAAAAACTTGAGATTCTATTCTAATATTTCAACAGACTATGCTTTGTCCTGATTAGTGCAAGCTAACTTATCAATTTGTTAAATCAAATGACACATTAACCTTATAGCCTTGAATTGGCCAACCCATAAAGACATGATAAAGATGTAACTATTATAGTGTACCAAGCACAATCAGCATATTGTTATACACTAATTCTTTCTTATGTCACCTTGGCCAGTGTTTATGAAACACCCAATACTAATATGACATGGATCTGCTATTAATAACAAAATGTAATAGCAATGTTTAACAAAGATGTAACCACATCATCATAAGTAGTGTACTAGTACTAGGCATTGACCTGATATGGACCTGCCTCTAGAGTAACAATGATGTAAGACAAAGGTAATCACAATACCGTAAGCACTGTACTGAGCCTTTTGTTGTATATATTTATGTCATATGAATTTATCTACATATTATAAAATAACAATATGTAACAGTGATGTATAACAAATATGGACAGCTGTATTAGCCTACAACTGGTTATTGTGGACACAGCATGTTGTTGATGATATGGACTTGCCTAGATATTAACAATATATAATAGTGATATATGACAAATATGGACTGCTATATTACAACTGATTATAGGGAGTTGTGAACACAGTGTATCAATTGTTACAGTTATATGATTGATAATATATTGCCCCCAGACTCCAGTACAGTAAATAACTACAGTGTTTGATGTTCTATTATCACAAGTTGTAAATGGAGTCAAAGATAAAAATCTCCGGTCAAGTTGACTTTTTCATCATAAATAATTCATTGTTTGTATTAATAGGCTATAGATCAGGGCTAGGTGGATATCAAATTTAGATATTAGGGGATAAGAACCGCACCTGGCTAACTCTCGAAAGCACTGGCACAGGCATAAAATTTTTTTTTCGAGGTGGATTCGAACTCACGGCACCTAATCGCCTAGCAGACTATTTAGGGTAATTAAAAGTAACAAGTTAAGCTTACTATTTTAACAGAAGAAACTGACACATGGACAAAGTTACATTAAAACATCGTTAAAATGGTTTTCTGTATTATTTAAACCTTAAAACAGTTATCAATGGGAAAAATGAACTTTAAGCTTGGTAAAAAAACAGCAGAGGACCATGGTCTCAAGTCAAAGTTACAAATACTATGTTGTTATCTATTAAAACTTATCTAAGTAATCAATGAAAAAATGTAAAATCTGCTACAAAACAAAACAAAACATGGGCGTGGACTCAAGGTTACTGATATTCATAAGACTTTATATAATTTTGGTTGAACAATAGAAAGTTTGTCTCCAGGGATGTTAATTTGACAGTATCTGCCAATCTAGTCCAACTGGGGCTTTAAAATGACTGGCTATTACTGTAATATTCAGGTTATCTTTTATTAAAACATATCAATGATTTTCAATATGTGACATTAATAAAATTTACCTAAACATTAGTTTGGTTTGGAAAGCTGAAGAATAATAAGATACAAATAGAGGTCAGATGATCAGACTATAATCAGGAATGATGTAATGATTCATGGTTGTTAATTACCACCTAATTATACTAGACAGTAGACAGTAGCATAGAGTTTAGTGTCAATAATCTTAATAATTAACTTCTCAAAGCTGTTTAAGATGGTTTCTTAGAGGAAGAATGATTTTACAAGATCAATGAAATGACAGTTAACTGCCATGGATAGAGTAGGAAAGTGGAAATCAGGCTTTTCATAGCTGCTTTAGATGGCCACTAAGAAGATGGATGATTAATCTGAGATCAATGATCATACCAGATCACAGTTTACTGCCAAGGAAGAAGTAGGGAAGTGGAAAATATCTGAGAGCAAGAGAGATTGGCAGAGAAATTTAAACCTCAATTAGCACTAAATTGATTTTGTAACATTTAATGACACTGTACAAGTATGAGTTAATAAAATCTTGTGGAAAACAAAGCATCAATATTGTAAACCTTAAGAAGATCATTCTGGACTATCAATTATAATAAGTAAATCTACAAAAGCATTGACATCATTACTGGCTTACAAATAAGAAAACAAATATCTGATAAGTATTAAAATTGCAGAGTTGAGATAAATTAACCAAAAATCATCGTCAATTTCTCAGAAATTGTCATGAGATGCGTACCTATAGCGATGAATTAAGAACTTTACTGTAAATAAAACCATGATGGTGAAACTTTCAACCCAACGTACAACGTGAGTGTTCAAGCACCTTACATAATAATACACAAACCGACACAGTGGGTAATCATAAACATATTCCTTTCCTGTTCGGTGGACTTGGCCTAGATCTAATTTTTTTGACATTCAAATGTGTTATTGTAGGGTACCCTCAATCCCTCATGTGTATTATAAATGATGGTGCTTGATTTTTAATGAACAAAGAAAAAAACATAACTGCCAGAGATGACAGTGCCATATGAACAATGACAGTAGCATTGTCAGTGACACTGACAGGATGTCATTTTACATTTATTACCTTGTATACTTTCCCAAAGGCACCATCACCAAGCTCTCCAACTATAGTCCATGTGGTTAAGGGATCTTCGTCTCTTTTGATGTTAACGCTCCAAATATCCTTTTTCTTCACCTCGTCAGCCAAACGAAAAAACTTTTTGACACTGCTTAGAAATGACATGGTTGAATGTGGTTTATTTTGTGACACTTCCTTGCGAATTATCTTTTCTTTTCAAGTCATAAAATCACATTGATTATGCAGATAAAATGGTTTTATAAAAAGTTAGCATGAGAAATAAATAATTCCTTGACATGAATGTCAGATTATATGATGAATCAGAATCACAAAAATGTTTAAATCCATGGTTTTAATCCTCATACTTTCTCAACAAAACAAGGGTAATCCGCCATCTTGATTATCCTATTGCTCATGCGCACAGGTGGGAAAGTAACGTCACGTGACAGGAGTTGTCTTTTCCTGAATAATTGGAATAGGCAGTTTAAAGGGGCGTGGACCTTGATGAATTAATACAATACATATTTCGTCACGCCCAACTAGGATATAAATAGCTAAAATGCAAAAAGCTATTTATAGAACTGATTATGATTCATACTAAGTTGCATATCGTTTTGCAATCAACCTAAATTTCTCTTTAATAAAATGCTTAAACCCAATAAAAAAAGGGGATCTGTATCAAATTGGGGCTGGCAAATAAGATGACATTATTAACTTTTGAACATTATTGGGTTTGTATTAGTCCCCTTCAATTTCTTCCACTAACAGCTGAGAGGTTGTGGTAAATAAATCAGGGCAAGTAATCTTATGGAAAAGGTAACATGAGCAATATGGGAATTTTTTACTACCTTGTTCAGATTTTAACTGTCAAGGGATTTTAAAGATGCTCACATTCAAACTTGACATCTAGCCAACATGAAACTATTTACTCCACGGTCAGCACAGGGGATTCCCAATATCTCACCTAGAAATATAACAACTCCAGTCAGCACAGGGGGTTCCCAATATCTCACCAAGAAATATAACAACCCCAGTCAGATCAGGGGGTTCCCAATATTTCACCCAGCAATATAACAACCCGAGTCAGCACGGGGGATTCCCAATATCTCTCCCAGAAATATAACAACCCCAGTCAGCACAGGGGGTTCCCAATATCTCACCTAGAAAAATAACAACCCGAGTCAGCACAGGGGATTCCCAATATCTCATCTAGAAATATAACAACCCCAGTCAGCACAGGGGGTTCCCAATATCTAACCCAGAAATATACCAACCCCGAGTCAAATCAGGGGGTTCCCCAATATTTCACCCAGCAATATAACAACCCGAGTCAGCACGGGGGATTCCCAATATCTCACCCAGAAATATAACAACCCGAGTAAGCACAGGGGGTTTCCAATATCTCATCTAGAAATATAACAACCCCAGTCAGCACAGGGGGTTCCTAATATCTAACCCAGAAATATACCAACCCCGAGTTAGATCAGGGGGTTCCCAATATTTCACCCAGCAATATAACAACCCCAGTCAGCATAGAGGGTTACCAAAATTTCTCCCAGAAAAATAACAACCAGAGTCAACACAGGGGGTTCCCAATATTTCACCCAGAAAAATAACAACCCGAGCCAGCACAGGGGATTCCCAATATCTCACCCAGAAATATAACAATCCGAGTCAACACAGGGGGTTCCAAATATTTCACCTAGAAATATAACAACCGATCAGTGATAGCACTATTTTTATTATTTTATAAAAAATCACATGGTATTTGTCAGGCCAAGATAGCTGTGTACATCCAGGCGCGGTGTAAAGTTTAAACAGTTCACTTTTTATTTTGAGATTGATAAATGAAACTAAACTAAAACATGAAGAGTTCACTTTAGTTTAAGGTACTGTAAATAGTTAAGAACATGAAACAGGTTTGGATTCGAAAGTTTAATTCAATATCTTTTATACCTCTTTTTTACTGGTCATTTAAGTAGTAATGAACAAAACAAAAGTTTGGTTTGTGTAGTTACAATTACTATTTCTTTAACACAAAATTAAACTGGACATGAATTATCTCATTTGTAGCTTGGTTAGTTTAGTAATGAACAAGACACAAGTTTCATTTGTTTATTACTAAATACAGTCCTCATGTTTGGCTTGTGTAGTTTCTATTATCAATCATTCTACATCTTATTAAAGTGAACTGTCAAAGTCTGAATCTATCGTCTTCAGATGAGAAGTAATATCTTGGCCCGACTGTAATTGAAAGAACGTTGTAAAATAATTGTTAAACATAAAATACGTAGTTATTTGATCACCTTCACCTTTCAAATGATTATTATAAAACTACATACAAAGATCAAGATGAATATTCAAATCACAATTGAAATGAAAAACACAAGTTAATTCTTAATTCTTACAAGTGTTAATTTATCAGTTATAAGACTGAAAATGTTTTACAAAACCCCCCAAGTTTGTTAATGAACTGTTCTAAACATACATTAAATGGTCAATGAAATGCATGTGTGGAAGAGTTCAATAAAAGTTTAAGGGTTAACAAATTACTTCAGATGTACAAGATATCAAGATAATTGTGCTCATATTTTCAAATTTATTTTAACAAAAAGAATATGAAATTAGCTTTAGATTACAAATTATACGTGCGGATATCGGGGTTTCCAGATTATCAGCAACCGGATAAACACGGCTCCACTGTACACAGAATTCAAACACTCAACACATACGAAATTATGTATGGTTCTTACATGAAATAACACACACAAACTTAGTTAAAAAAACAGTTTGAACAATCTTTTTAGAACAATATTCAACAAAACCTTCAAATCACATTCACAGCCATTTAAAAGTGATTTAAAGGTTTAGTTGAAATATTTAAAAAATACGAGATTCAAAAATGGCTGTGAACTAAGTTCATGTGTGTTATTTCTATGTAAGAACTATACCTAGTTACGTATGACACTCAACATACAAACTGTTTTCATCATTTTCTAGCTAAACTCATTCAACTAAAACTATTATATATACTAACTTATTAAATTCAAGCTAAGATACACTGTACACATCCAGAAGATAAATACATAAATCATAAACAACAGACTAGATTGTCAACTCTACATAGCTAATAATGTTTATTTGGTATATTTGGTTTGTCAACTCAACATCACTTTCAGAGAGTCCACATAGCTAATAATGTTTATTTGGTATATTTGGTTTGTCAACTCAACATCACTTTCAGACAGTCCAAATAGCGAATAATGTTTATTTGGTATATTTGGTTTGTCAACTCAAAATCCCTTTCAGAGAGTCCACATAGCTAATAATGTTTTGTTGTATCCAGGTTTGTCAACTCGACATCCCTTTTAGAAGTTCCACATAGCAATTATGCGGCCTATGAACAGGGTCACAGAGTTCTGAGTTTGTCAACTCAGTCAACATAAAAAGTTAATCTTGTAAATTTCTTACACAACAACTTATTCTACCTCAGAAAAAAGTAGACTATTCCAATTCACAATCTGCATGTGCATAAATACCTTGAAATTACCATATTCATCATTTACACAAACTTTTACAACAATCTACCTCACATTAAAACTCTTTCTTTCAAAATATATCTTGATCTGCCATACAATATTTAATAAACACCAACCTTTACAAATATATATTAATAACATACAATAAAATAAAATTAAACTACACAAAATCATATCTAATGCCACAATATTAATGTGTTTTCAAAAAAAACTATAAATAGAATAATCATACATATATATATATTCATATTTTCACCATATTTTAATTTTTTTTTACTTTTTTACTGGCAGTGAAAAAAGTATTTGTTCAAAGTAGAAATTTTAAATAGTTACACTATTTTTGGTTTAATACTGAAAATAATAATTTGACTATGAAACAAAAGCTGGATTCTTCATCCCAAATGCTTAAAGTTTTGGAACAAACAACGGTCAGGTAGCTAGTAATGTAAGGTAATGGCTTTTTGCATTAATTTGATATTGCAATAGTTCCTTAGGCTCTACTCTGAAGTGGCTATACTAAAAATAGAAACTAATAAAAAAAACAAAATGAAAGTTGGGTCTTATTTTAATTAGACTGCTCGTATTTATGAAATGTTTAGAAATTCTCTATTCTATTGGCTCTGTTAATTAATCAGACAAGATAAAAATTAATGAAAGATTATAGAAAGATGGGATGGATTTGATTCATACGTAAAGATTTACGACACGTTGGACAGGTATGGAATGATCGTAGAGACTGTTTGATACATTGACTACAGAAAATATGACCACAAACTGTTGACGTTAACTGTCGGCCAGTTCTTTTGATCTAAAAATAGAAAATAATACATATAATAATAATGGGGGGGGGGAGGAATTTTCTCGAATTCTGAATTTTCAGGTTAGCCTACAAGTATTTAACTCCTTGTGTTGTCAGTGCTGCCAAAGAAATGTGTATTTTCTATATATAAAGTGTGGAAACTTTGTCAACTGTCAAAATGAAAATTGAATATTTATGGGCGTATATATAAAAAGAAATCTGTATTTTCTGTATATCAAGGGTAGGAACTTTGTATTGAATATTTGAATATTTGTTGGCGTATAAAAAAAGAAATCTTGACTGACCTGTCTATCATCATCCATACAAATAGGACAGGTTATTTTGACTGGAATGGGGGAGGTGTAGATATTTGGATTATTAGCAAGGCTAGATATTCTGGAATAAAACAATATATTGATTTTAATTAACATATTACTTTGGGGCTGCTCGATTGAAGAGTTTTGTATGTTCGGAATTCATGAAATCGACTGGACGTTCAATAAAACAAGTTGGAGCAGAGTCAAAAACAAGTTCCACAAATGAGTAAGTACTTGTAATCAGTTTACGAACCTGGGAGGGGAGGCAACTTCTAGACTCTCTTGAGACGAGTCAGCAACAGTAACTACATCCGTAGTGGGTAATATTTGTACTGAATTGTTTAATTCTGGTTCAGTGGCTCTACCTTAAAAATAAATACAGCATGCAATGACCAATGGAGGAAATTTAACGAGAATAGTGGTATACACTTTACTATATTTTCAATTGTTAGACTTTAAGAGTTTTTTGTACCTGATTGATCTAATGAAGGTGGACAGTGATGCAGCTCTGTCAGAATAGTGGCTAGTCTTTATATATTTTAAACTGTTGAATTACTTAACAAGCAAAGTATGTATCACATTTTTTTTATCTTATTCTATCTATGACAGCCAATTTTCGACCAAGATTCTTTAGTGTCAAGCCAAGTTTCTTGCTGGACACAGTGTACACTTGTAACTTGTACCTTTAACCTGTTTACACTGCCACTGTCACACCGTACTCGGTCCAGACTAAGCAGTGTAAGCTCAGCTAATGATAAGAATACAGTAATTATGATATTCTCTACCTCTACGACGATTGGCTCGTCTGTTAGTAGTATAAGGTTGAGGTGTTGAGATAATTTCTACTGAACTATCGTCTCCACGTCGAGAACTAGATCTCTGACCTCTTCGACTGTTACTTCTGCTTCTTCTACCTGTACTAGCTGGAAGAGATTTCACTATCATTTGAGGTATTGAATATGTGATCAAATAGTGACAAAAACTCAATAAGTTTAAGATTTCTCATGAATAACTTATTATATGAAACGCATTATATAAGGATTCTATTGTATAGTTATGGCACCAAGTACTTATAGAAAAAAGGCACTGGAAAAATAAATAAGAAGCAAGAAGTTTCAATGACATCTCCTCGTCACAAACTATAGTCCTACCTTCTATAGGAGACAATGGTAACACAACCTGCAATTATAAAATATAAATAGTGATAATGATCATTAGTTGTGGCTAAGCCTATAAAGGTCAATCAAAGGAAGTGCTCAATCCAACATTAAAGGTAACTCTGTCTGACGCAGTTAGAAGCTCTCAAGTCGGCAATTGTCTTTGTTTTATAATTGGTATTACTAGGCTATAACAAGTTATAACTTACTGGTCTGAGGGATAAAGGAGAAACGCTCAATGAACTTGTTAGATCTATATATTCAGGGTGTTCATCAGTTAGATCAATACAGGACGACTCTACAACAAATAATATTATAGCATTATTAGGTTTTTCTTTTATACAGATTTTAATGATATCAAAACACTTAATAATAATAAACTTTTTATTTTACATGGGTCAGAATTGGGTCTTATTTCATGTCTAAAATTCAGCCTATGAGAGTTAACTGGAAATTTCAAAACAAACATTGAATTAAAGTGAGCTGGAAATTCTTTATTTCTTTGAAATATTGACCATTAGCGGCCTTCGACTTGTGGATTGCAATTTGGTTAGGTCCAGTACTGTACCCTACAGGCATTGTCTATTTTCTCATTATATTAGGCATTATAAATGTTACTTATGAAAGACCGTTATTCTATATAATCAGTACAGAGATTAAAATGGTCGACTTACCTTCACTGGACTGGGAGCTGGATAAATCATTCATTCTCTGTAATCTCAATGATCTTCGTCTAGGGGTCTGTTAAAATAAAAAATAAACATAGGATTCAATTAGATTCTAGTTCTATGTTATTATATAGCTTTGAATGTTGTCTCAACACTTGCTTGGTTACCTCTAAACTGGCCCCCATTTCATCTTCGCACCGAAGGGATGGGTTGGACCTATTGTCATCTTATCACTGATAGGTCGAAATTCATATCATACACTACCGTATCATCATTGGGATTCCTAATTGGTAACGATAAACAGACATCTCGCTACATCGCACAGTCAGTATTTTGATCTTGCCTGTTTTTTGTTTAGTGATAAGCGAACATCAGTCTATGTGCGAGACAAAAGATATAAGCTTAGATGGGAAAAGAGCCCTGACTGCTTTGGCAATCTGCAGAAGGATAGTAAGCCTATTTCAATATCATATCACATTTCTGATCAGGTTTTATAAAACAGGGCCTCCTCCCTAGAAGTAAGAGATTCAATGTGGAAACACTCATAAGAGAACACTGGAAATTATGATGTAAGCTTGGCTGGTTCATACTGGCCTATGTCGACTGCATTGCAAAGTTTGTAGGAGTAAGCCTAAGGCTACAGATTTAGGGTAGGCATACCATACAGTAACAAATAGAAAAGAGGGGTGGGGGGGGGGGGCACCAACATTGTTCTCTTTTCTGATTTTCACTTCAAATACAAAGTGGCTAACACGAAACCGTTTCATTTCATGATGGACAACAAATCTATGTAATTCTGCAACGTACACTCATTTCACTAACAGTTTTTCCCTGTACAAATGTTTCCAGCTCAATAACTTTGCAGCCGACAACAAATTTTATCTCTTTCGAATATCGACAAAACGACTATAGATATTAACGTTTGTGACAAACGAGACTACTTCAAATAGTTACCGTTTTGGTCTTCTAAATAAAAGAACTCATAAGGGGGTTGAACTCTACTTTGCATATATCGGCTTCAAACTACAAAAAGCCAATTAGAAATTGAACTACCAACTGGAACACTATTCAGATTGAGTTATTCAACGGAGTTTTCCTGGACAGTTAAGTTTCAAATGGGGTTATTTATTTGCCTTTTCTGGAGAGCATAGTTTTTTCTGTTACCAAAAAGCAGTGGCTGGGAAATAAACCAATTGGAAACAGATTCAAAGAACATGCTAATATAATCTGGTCATCTGTGACCAGAATGATCTTCTGTTTCAAATTGGCCACACCATTAATTCTGCTTACTTTGTTCTAGTAAGTCCTGTAGGCATAGTCTACTTAACTATACTTGTAGAGATAAATTCAACATTCAGAAATATTAGCTCTTACCAACTACATGCAATAGATTGACATTATTAGACACTTTTCCTGTCTCACAGAAGGTTAATTGTTACTTTCGTGATACAAGAAAAGTGCCCTATGATGTCAAGGTATTAGATGTATTTTGTAATAGCTCGACATTGTGAAGGTGCTCTGTGGTGGGGCCTCCAGCAGGTACTTTGATCTATTTGTGAATCATGTCTGATATGAGCTAGGACCTTTGAAAATCTCTTTGAAATATTGGTTGGTGGCCTTCGACTTATGACTTGCTAATTGTGAATCATGTCTGATATGAGCCTGGAACTTTGTCAGGTTATCAAAATGCAAAGTTCTGGCCATGGTTGGGTGAATATCAAGAGAAAAGACTGGATGATATGTTGTAAAAAGTTTCGTTCCTTTATGGATAATAATATTATACAAGCTAAAAATGGCAAAACATAAGGGGTAAGCCCAACAACAAACAAAATGAAATGACATTGCCACAGGGGCAAACAATTTACCATGGGGCAAACAATTTACCCCAGGGTAAAACAAATTGGTCATGCACTCATACAATTAAATATACAGAGTTTTGGAAAATAAATAAACGACTGTCAGATATATTATGAGAAAAAAGAAATTATATAAGTTGAATTCCTTCCAGAATTTTCAATTCATATAAAATCTGTTTTTTAAAAAATTAATAAGAATACTACCCAAGACTGACCAAAGAAACAAAATCTCTCAAATTCACAAAGCAACTTGATGCAAAGTGACTTGAAAGCACAATTACATTAATATAATTTATCATAAAACAGTTGGCAACTTGCATAGGCAAAAACAAAACAGCAGCTCTCATACTCTCATTACAGCATCATCATCACACTACCAAGATACATAGAGAACATTCAGCCCTATTATGTTAACTCTGTACTCTTGATGGTGTGAAGATGACTGCTCATATCACATGACTATTTACATTAAAGGGGAATAACTCTTCAATCCTAAAACCATACAAAACAATACTATTTAATATTACTTTGAAATCAGCTATTATAGGCCAAGTTAACTTGAACTAATATTATTCACAGAAATTCTCAGAATCTTGCAAATTTCTTTCATGAATGTGAAAATTATGACAACTATGCATAAAATTCACAGTACCTTTAAAGAAGTCAAGAACGTGTCCTCACTTAACCAAAATTGCAACCTTTCAAGCCCCAAAAATTCAATTCAGTCCAAAATCCAGTGTATTTTTCATATCACGCAGTGCTGAATATAGTGTTACACCCCTTAAATTTTAGTAGACTCTTCTGCACATGCATCCTCTACACATACTATCTTTAAAATAGATGGGTCCATTTACAAATTCGAGGGATTTTGTCATTATTACACTATATTTAGCCTTACATAGTACAGAAGCGCTGTGAAAACAGTAAGTGGCTATACAGAAATCTCAATGTTACCAATAATATCATTTGTTAGAAAATACAATCAATAGACATCACAAATTAGCATTGGTCTTAATAGAAATTCAAATTTCATTATTTTTATTCTACTGTTATAATAACTTGATAATTAAATGTCTAATGCTGGATACCTTATAGGTTTTCCTTTCAAACTGTTTGGCCTTGTTCATGATTTAAACTATATTATTTTTACAGTCATTATAAACAAAATTTCATTAAATTAAGTAACAATGAATGTCTTCAGATTTTAATTCTATTTAATCTTTCCTTCTACTAAATTTGAAACTGGTCAATAAAAGTTTTTTGCCAACAAAGTGTGACAAGAAAATATACAAATTATGACAGAGCTACAGATCTAAATATAGTTGGAGTTGAAGTGAATCAAAACACAAGGTCCTCTGTACCGCAGTCTTCAACATTGTTCCATTGAGAAATTTATCCACATCCAAGTCCAAGCTTCTTCTTGGTGAAAATATCCTTTAGATTAATCTGAACCTGCATCTTCTCTTTAACTGGTGGTTGAGGGGAGTCCAGACAGAACCTGAAATATTTCAGTGAATGAAGTTTGTATGACATGAATTGGTCTAAATTTTCATTTCAGAGAAGAGAATACAAACAGTCTATAGTGCAAGTTTTGGCTCACCTGAGAACAATGGTTCCTAACCTATTTCAGCCTTCACAACCCTGGAGCAATCAAGTGAGCCTTTCACACCCCAAAAATTTGTTTCATCCACATTTCCTGCATGTGATAATGTGAGCTGCTCTCTTAATTCAAAATAAATTCTTCTCCTACACCAGTTGGCCACACCCCTGACACCCTATTCCCTCATCCCAGATTGGGAACCACAGCCTTAGAAGAGTATTACTAGGGTAGACTCTGCTTCAAGAAAACTGCCAAGAGTGGCTGAATACATTCAAATATGACTCCCTAGAATCTCTTTTAATATTTGTAAAGTATATGCTTGTATCCTATATATCAATGAATCCATATATTGATATACATGTGTGACACATGTAGTTTCTAGAATTCAAAATAAATCAGTTGTTATATCATGTAGTTACATCGTAATATTTATTAAATCATGACCAGATTGTCAATACACATCACTAGAATATTGTCGATGTTTCTTTTAGATCTCAAATCCATATCATTAGAAAAATATTTGCTCATGGATAATAACTCCTAAAGTAAAGAGCCAAAGAATATCCGCTCACCTTTTAAAGCCTTCTATTTCTTTCTCCATATCATCCAATTCACCATTCTCTATATCTGATTCAGATCTCGGCAAAAATATCTCATCTGAAACGACACACAAATATAGAAATATATTGAAAGAACCTGAAACATGTTGTTATTTAGAGTTTCATACTGTGCTTCATCTGAAATTACATATATAGTTCTAATGGAGTTTTACATTTCTTTGTCGTTCTATCAGATGTAATGAACACGAACTAAAATTTTCCAAGGACAATTGAAAATCATAAAGTGTGCAATGAGGGAACCACTTTATCCTTCATTCTAGATATCTTTAAACTATTACACTATAGACCTAATTCAAACCTCGTTTTTAAGACACTGAAAGCGAGGTTCATAACACAAATTTCATTATCCATTGATAAGATGGCTATGTGATATGAATAAAAAGCAAAAGTGACATCACTGAACACCTGATAACAGTGGGAAAATGGACTTAAAACAAAAATATGTGAAGGTAAAATTCATCTGAAAGTATCATTAAATAGCTTAATCAATTCCAAATTTTATGATGTAAAATATGATTAGTTTAGAGTTAGTGGGATTAGAGAAGCAGACTTTAAAGGCTTCAGTGACACCATGTTACCTTTGTTTCTTAACGTTATGGCTGATGCGTGAATAAGGTCTATTACACAAAGGATTAGTGTTCTGGTCTATCCGATTGCTATCAGCGAAATCTGAATTCTAGTTCCACATATTTCTACTTACCCAATGTATCATCTCCCCTACCCTTCTTTTTCTTCTTCTTGTTTTTACTCTTACTTGCTTTAGCCTAAAAAATACGGAAAAAAATCTCATGCCATGGACAGCGGTTTCGAGAGTTGCTCAGTGTCGGCTTTCCACGCCAATCATTAACAAATAAATAGACAAACTGAGAAGGTATTGTTCAACTAATTATTCAGTCCGTGAAAATCAAATCGTGTGTATTCTTTTAGCACATATAATCATCCTTTCAAGACTTTAAGGTGGTGCTCGATAGGAGAGTTCTAAACAAGTTCCGTCCGTTCTAATTCTGCCCCCAATCGAAAGTTGTCACATGTCATAAACATAATTTTCTTTCTATTTCCTCCACCTCCATGCCCTATTAATTTTTCGGGTACAAGTAGAAAGCTTTCTG